ATTTTTAATCACTGCAGGCTAGAAACTTCCTCTTTCTCCAGGAAACCTGCTCTTCCTGTTACATGACTCTCTTTCTACCTGATTATGATTTTTTTATGATTAAATAGAAAAAAGTAGAATTAAAGCAAAGTTTGCAGGACACAATAACAACTCACACAACCAGATTAATTTCATTACCGTCTGACTCTACTGTTGGGTCTTGATGTCACCTGTGTAGTTTTAAAGATAACTTTATTTATTGTTATTATTAAACTAAAATCTCCAGCATGGGGAATTGGGATGAGCTCGACTTTTCTTGACAACGTACAGCTTCATTTTGGGGGAGGGGCTGCTTTTCTGACTTTCTGAGTCTGATCCTTCGAATGCCTTCTGCTTTCGAATTAAGTATCTAAAGACAAAGATTGATTTTTCTCATTTCTTGACAGTTTCTCTACCCTTTGTTAATTTTTTTATTTTCCACGACAGCAGACACGTTAGTCACAAAGCACTGGTCAACATTAATCACAGTTATGTACAAAAACAAGGAGCCACAGCCTGCTGCCCTCTAGTTTTTAACTGAGTACGTGGAACAACCAGAAGATCTGGATGAGCAGCAGAGTGTTTGGTCTAAAGCTGACACTAATAATCAGGACAATGGACATTCAGAGACATTTGAGAACAAGAACTTAAGAAACAATTTCTACAGACCTCTGGGAGCCAGTGTAGAGAGTATAATGAGGTACAGCGCTTCACACACTTCACACACTTCACACAGCCATGTCACCCTAACCCACCATGCGCAGTCCTCTGAACTTGATCAAGTGCTATACAAGTAGCCCATTAATAGACAGAGACCCTGTTTTTATATGTTTGTGGTAATATGAGTGTATTTACTAAATTCAGTGGACTCTCTCTGCTGCATTCTGAATAGTTTTCAGACATGAGACAGGATGACCTGTCCAGACTGGTAGAAAAAGCAGTGCGACAGCCAAAGCGCAATGACACAGAAGAATGTATAATTTTCTCTAGATCAGCTCAGGAGACCATGTCTTGTATCTTGTTAATTTTTTTTTTTTTTTTAAAAAGGGGGGCGGTGAGAACCAGGGTTGAGAAACACTGCTTTATGAGAAGTCTAGCTGTTACTGGGCAAAAAGAAGAACCTCATTTTTGAAACCAATTGAAGGGGGAAGTTTATCTTGCTGTCCATCTAGCTTTACCACACACAAAAACAGCTTGCACATTGTTCACTGAAAAGGATGTGAAAGTCTGCCTGGAAGTGGTTCCTGGGATTTAACACGCTGGCATGTTTTTGTGGAGGCCATAACATAAATGGCCTAAAATGTTTTGGAGCCACCACAAACTGCACTTATGCTTACTTGATGGACTTCATTCTGTATAAGGCAGACTGGTATAAATAGACAGACATCTATCTGCATGTCGCCACTAATAATTTATATTAGATGACACAACAGGGTGTAAAAGTGTCATATCTTAGCCTATACAAAATCAAGTGGGGTGTAAGAAGGACAAATAAATGAGATATTCAGATAGTGTGTACATTTAAATAGCACTGACCCTACCAGACTGTCAATATTTTCTTGCTTTATATATATATATATATATATATATATATATATATATATATATATATATATATATAACTTTTTTTATTTTGTACTTATCTATTTTTTTCTTTTCTTTTTTTTTTTTTTGCATAAACGTCAGGTTGGTGGTGCAGTGAGAGAGGTTACTGGTTACACTGCCACATACCGTCACACCATTTCAGTGGAAGAAGGCGGAAATGAAGGCGACTGTTTAAATATGAGGATCGGACACCACCATGCTATCGAAGGATTTCCCAACTGCGTCGTCGCAGACGCCGTCATCAACTTCTTCATGGCTCGAACGGACAAAGTTCGGCAGGTTGGCTTCGACCCGCGCCTGTCAAGAACAGGCCATCTAGGTCAGAGGCCATTAAATACGTTAAACCTCTGAGAATAAAGCTTTAAATGCACGCATGACTTATTTTTGCCTTTTATTTCTGCAGAGTTTTTTGTAGATGCTCTGGGCACCATGCACATCGGCTCCTGTAGTGACGTCATCGTTAGCCACGCGTCAAAGATCAAGTTGCCATGGACTAAAACCGAAACACAGAAGGCCTACGAGCAGTTTCGATACTCTTCTGGAAGTACGGGTGTTAGCAGAAATGAGATCTTTTACTTTAAGAACAGATTCAAGTGCATGACCAGTCAATAAAAAATGCACTTCCAGTGGTCTCATGAAAACAAATAGGCGTTGCTCTTGGCTAATAGATGTTTTGTTTTTTGTTTGTTGCTCACAACTGTTTTTTTTTTTCTTTTTTTTTTAACCACCTGTTGTGATGTTAACAATCCAAACGATTCTTGTTCTTTGAAGCACTACTCATTTTTTGCAATTTGTTTACTGTTTACTTGTTTTCTTTTGAATTTGTAAGGGAGAATTTTGATGCTAATTGCTCTTAGTGAGTAATTGTATTTTTGTGTGTGAATGGACTATTATAAGTTGTCGTGATGTATTGATCTTCTAGAGGAGGGAATATATTTAATTTGCACACAAAAAAAAGAAAAAAAATGCTAACCTTGTTGTCTTTATGCTAACGCAAGTTACAGATTCCGTTATCGTGTCTAGAGGTTGCAACAATAATGAACAGTTCTTAGTAGTTTTTAGTCTACTATCTCATTTAATTGATTACAGCGCTCATTTTATGTCACAGGAAACCAAAGGTCACTCCACGCGTAAGTCAGAAGTCAGATAACACTCTGTTATCATGCTCTTTAAATGTCTCACAATCTCCAAATGGGTAGAGATTCCAGAAAATGTCACAAAGTCCACATTGGACTCTTATTCCCACTTCACTGAGTTATTTGTTTTCTTGCATCATATAAAAATGTCAGATTTCCAAATGTTTTTATTGTGCTAGATCAGTGATTTCCCAACCCTGGTCTTCAAGGGACACCGCCTTACATGTCTCCCTGCTTCAACCACACACGATTAACAGGCTTTTGTTGAACTGAATAAGGGAAACATCTAAAAAAAATATAAGGCGGTGTGCCGCGAGGACACCGCCCTATATCAGATTTCCAAATGAAAACATTTGGAAGCAAAAAAAAAAAAGAATTTCAATGTTTCACCACCAGAGGGAAACAAAAGATCAGGTAAAAATGACCTTGCAGTATATTTGGGCAAATTATTTGTAGGTAGTTGGTTATCGGATGGAGGAACATTTAATAAATATGAACACGTGTCTATTACTATACACTTTGTGGTTAAAAAAAAAACATTGGCTGCAATTCTAATATCTTAATTTCTCCCGTCATATGCGGGCATTTGGTAATTTTAAGTATGATGTTGTTGCCTGTGAGAGTTTATTTAAATGACAACTCAAGTCTTCATTGTTTAAGACTTTGATTTGTTGAGGATTTTGCAGGGTTATTTTTTTAAAATTCCTTTCCATGTGTGTTCACGTTAGTTGGTCTTTATGTAGAATCTGGCTTACTAAACATTTGGCCAGATACTCGTGCATCATGTCCTAATTGAAGTGGACTACTTCCTGCCAATTAGTGAAATACTCCTTGAGCTTTAAAGGGAAAACCCCAGCGGGTACAGTGTCGGGAGGATTACTTAAAATATGCCAAAAAAAGAGAAAGAAATAATATGATCAACTTAGTTATCAAACACACCGCAAGGACATAATTATTTATTTGCTTTATTTTTACCGTGGTTTTGAACTCAAATCTGGATGTAGATTTTATCAGGCCAAGGTACCAGGTTTAAGCGGGGTTGTGAAAGTATCGTGTATTGGCCAGCAGAGGGCAGCAACGTGGCAAGAAAGAGGCAGTTTTCATCACGGAAGGTTTTGAAATAAATCTACCAACTTTTAAGAAAATAATAGTTGGAAGGAAATATGATTCTTGTGAATCTTTGTACACTGTATCTTTAATCGCACTGAACCAACTCTGTGGATGTGATTACTCTGTTTTTGTCTTTGTCAGATGGTAAACAACTCTCCTGTCATTGTTCCACATTTAAATCAGGGTTTTTTTCTTCATTTTTCAAATCTGAGGCATATTTTTATCATTATTATTATCTAAGTGCGTACAAAGACACCTCCTCTTCTCTCTTCAAAATTTGACAAGGTTGGCATGCTTCACATTCCACACCACCCTCCATTTCAATCCCCTGGGGGAAAAAAGTTTCGTACCTAAAATATAGGAAAAAATCCACCTTTTATCATGTATTGACTGTAATTCCTGTGTGAAGATAAAAAGAACAATCACTGGGGCTACTTGATGGTTATTCAAAGATCATATATGAAATGTGTTGTGTATTTGTATTGAACTCTCCCTTTTTTTGCAATTCCCTGGATGAAAAAGGGGGGTAAAAAAAAAGACATTTTTTTCTGCAATTCTGTGTGTGACTGTCAGCTTCTCACATAGAGACAATGAATTTTTTGCCCATTTTTCTGTCCAAAATAGATTCTGAAGTAAATTTAAGTCCAGACTTGGACTAGCCCTTTCTACGTGAATATGTTTTATTCTCAGACCATTTAATTCTGTCGATGTTCGGGGTTATTGTCCTGTTAAAAAGGGTAAGCTCTATTTAGAAGCATCTCTCACAGGCTTTTCTTCAGAATTGTCCTGCATTTGAGTCCATCCATCTGCCCACCGTTTCTGTCCAGGTCCTCTGTCCCTGCTGAAGCGTGCCCACGGCATGATGTTGCCACCACCGTGGGTCACCACGGGGGGTGCCAGCATTAATTGAACTCTACATAATTTAATGTCATCAAAGCTACTGGAATCAATCAACATTTTTTTAGAGCACTTTACACTTTACTCTGAGTAACCAAAGAGATGCATAATTTAAAACATGATCAATAAAAAACACCTGTAATAAAACAGACAGATAAAAAAAGAAAAGATCAACTTAAAAAAGAGACAGAAAACAGACAACTGCTGAACTGGAATTAAAAGCCAAGTTAATGAGATGGGTTGTTAAAACGGCCTTAAAATCGTTCAAAGTATTAGCCATCATTCAAATGAGAAGGAGATTGTTCCAGAATCTGAGAGGATGCTTGTGTAAAAACTCTTGACATAAATGATGTGTGCTACACTGCTTAAACATTTAAAAACCAAAATAAAAATCAATCCCAAAACATATTCATGCATCCAGTGCAATATGGAGGTACCGTAATGTCCTCGCGTTGTTACCTATAAGCAGACGGGCAGCAGCGTCTTGGACCAGCTGCAGACGATTAACAAACATAGAACAAATTCTTCAGTGCGCTTGGTATTTTATTACATACAGGTAGCTAACATTACAAACACATATAAATATTACAATGCCGAAATACAGAATACATATGACTGTAAAAATGAAATATTACAGAAGAGAAAGTCCAGAAGAGTTATACAGTGTTGAGGAACTGCATTTCCTTGAGTTAAATCCAGCTAGGATGGATTTAAGTGTGTCAGCAGGGAGTGTGATATCTGAAAAAGGTCGGCTAATGCTGAAATGTAACCATTAAAAATACTAAGTGCTGCTACAACAGGCCACTGTGTCTTTGAATTACTCCCCTACTGCAAAGTCCGATCCAGCTGTTCTTGTGCTCCAGCCGATGTCTCAGGCCACAGAAACTGGCCTCTCGGTTCAAACCCAAACTGTTGTGGTGTTCTCTGGAGGTTTTTCCTATGGCAGAGGACAACATTGTCATTCAAATGTGAAAATGATTTATTCTCTGCTTATACTGAAAGCGATTACGATTCGTACCCTCTGTTGCTGGATGTACATTACGGCATCGTGAACGGTGACAAAAATATGCTGAGGATTCATGTGACTCATCAGGCCGCTTGATGTCAAGATCTTTAAGACACTCTCTAAAGGGAGCAAGATAAATCCACACACACACACACTTAACACATTTAACCCTACCTACACTGTAACATAACAGGAAAAAAAAATGTATGAGAGAAATATCTGACATTAAAAACGTTTACCGTTGCAATTTGCCAAATAGACGTGAACTCCGACTTTCTGGCACTCGGTGCACATCTGCAGGAAGAAAATCACATGACGTGACCAGATCACGAGGGGGAGCCATGTCCTTTTGTTGAAGGCTGACCTGTGTGAAGAGCCTCGCTCCAGCAACATCAACAAATATGACTCTGCTGCAGTCAATTAGCACGGCCTGGACCTCTTTCTCTGGCGTTTCTGCAGGGTGAAAACACGCAGTTTCATAACGTCTGCTGTGAGAGAACATCCAAACTGAGTGATTTCACAAAGCAGCTACGAACCTGATTCAAAGAACTCATTTACCGAAGAGAACGACGTGTTTGCTATGCCTCTGTCCTAAACAACAGCATAGGGAGAAAACACGAAGACGGCTGGGTTAAGTTACATTTTATAGTTTATAAATATGTCGCATTTGTCCCAACAAATGGTTATTGATGACTCATACCACAGTGCTGACAGAGGCCTCTCTCTCTCGTTTCTCCAAAGCTTTCCTGGCCTTTTCCCGACTGCGGATCTCTTCGGGCGTCAGACCCAACACCCTGCTCATTTTCTCCCTGAAGAAGCTGCGATTGCCGTAGTAGATGGGCCCGTTGTATGTCAAGATTTTCACCCCGGGCACTTCATAGCACTGGATAGGAAAAAAAAACCCCAAAAAACAACAATGTCTCATCTTTATTGTTTCGATAAAATCCTGTCCAATCGTCTCTCACATTAAGGGTCATGGTGCTGGAATTTATTTCCTCTAATGGACTTTTTTTTTCAGACACGTTCACCTTAACTTTTAGTGCGGTGTCTATTTGCAACAAGTGAAAGAATTACAAGCTCTACTCACCTTGCTGTGGTTCTCCAGAGGTCTGTATATTTCTGTGTTGCTCGCCCGCCCAAGAACTGAGCAATCAGCCCTGTTGAAGCATTGATCATCTGTTCACTTATGTGTCAAGTTTATGTAATCACACTCGTACGACTTTTTCAGTTTGTCACAGCTTTAAAGGGACTTCTTATGGTTGTGCTGTGGATTTTTGAATCTCCTTCAGTGATAACATTCGCCTGTGATCAATCGCCTTCTTTTTCCAGTTTAGGTGGACGGCCATGTTTTACCTCTTTTTTGTACAGACGTTCAAAGCTTGGCATATTGCTTTATAACCTAGCCCTGCACACAAGTGGACTCTATTTACTGGGAGATTTCTGGGGGCAGCTGCTTGAACTGGACTTTATTTGGGAGATTCATAATAAAGGTGCTCAATAGAAATGCATTTCATGTTATTCCAGATAGTAATTTGTGAAAAAAAAAATGGTCATGCATAACTTTAGCAACATGGAAAATCTCAACAAAACATGTTGGAGGTTTCAGTTCTAGCTTTGCAGAAACAAGCACTGAGCCTCAGTTCCTGGACTTGACAATGATTGCACCTTTGTGTTCGATAGATGACGGTCATCATGGAGAAAACCACGCCGATGGCCAGGCCAAGGTCCACGTTCAGTACCACCACAGACAGCCAGGTTACGACCCAAACCATCTAACGACAGAGACAACATCACCACGAAGCAAATCAAATTGAACAGGTCAATCTAAGTAAATACAACTTGATTAATTAAAAACAAAACATAATTATTGAACACATATTCTGTGGAGGAACTTGATTCAAAAAATCTGGAGACGTTGCAGTTAAAGATGCGCCCACTAGTTCGCCAGCAGCCAAACAAGCTACAGTATTAAACCGTCTGTTTTCTTTCTCCTTTTTCTTCTGAACAAAAATATCTATTAAGCAGTCCTACAAAGTCTAGCTTGCTGATCCTCCAAAGCTCGGGTAAGTCTCGGAACTGCAAGAACATTTGCCTCAGGCTGGTAACGTTGATGCATGCCAGCACAGCCTGCGGGGAGAGACAAAAGGGAAGGTAAGTGGAGATATCCTACTTCCTTTCTCTTCATGTACAGAGACAGTCACGAGAGCACACCTTAGGCAGGAAGTAGAACAGGGGTCCGATCAGCAGCAGGACGATCAATACAACCAGACTGGTGAAAAGGCCAGAGAGCTGCAAGGACACACACATATAAATGTGTGTTAAGAAACGTAAAGATTTAATTGGCTTTAAATGATTAAAATGATTGTATGTGCTCTGGATTCTTGGATCTTGATTGTCTAACCAAGTGAAAAATGTTTTTTCATCTCAGATGACGACTTTGGACAAGTGAGAAACAACCCAGTCTTTTTTTTTTCCTTTGTCCAGGTGAGACTCTTCTGATGTTGTCTCTGGTTGATGGACGGCTCACAGCATAGCAGTAGTGATCCATAGCCTCGCTATACATGAGGCTAATGATCTTTCACACAGTTGTCCCATGTTGAACTTCCAAATTCAAGATCTTTCCTGCATGTCTTCCCCACTTCACCAATTTTCAGTTTGATGAGTGTCAGAAATGGGCACCGCTGGATTAAAAAGATATATATAAATAAAATAAAAGCACAGTTTCAGTCCATGTTAATGCTGCAGTAGGGAGTTCTAAGCCTGAAGATTTGAACAAGCACACCTTACAGGTCCACCTTCCCCCCCCCCTTTGCTCTCTGCAGTGGAGCTTGCCCAGAACTTGAGAAATTACCGCATTTCCTGTAATGTTCAATTGATTTATCCACCATTAGCATTGCAATTGCAGCTAATCTGTAAACTTGAGCTTGAGTGACTGCACATGCGGAACGGGGGAAGGCTACAAAAGGACGTAAGCAGCTTGCACACGAGCACGATTGACATTCCTAAGACCTTCTTCCTGGCTCTGATTGGTTGTTTCTGAGCTGTAGTATTGTAGTGTATTTCTGCAAGTGGCTGTAGGACCACTGAGAGGAGACATAAGAACTCCATCTCTTCACAAATTATCTGTCTCATATTCTGTTGCCACAACATGGTAACAGTTTTAACATTTTATTTTATTTTTNCTTGCTGTCCATCTAGCTTTACCACACACAAAAACAGCTTGCACATTGTTCACTGAAAAGGATGTGAAAGTCTGCCTGGAAGTGGTTCCTGGGATTTAACACGCTGGCATGTTTTTGTGGAGGCCATAACATAAATGGCCTAAAATGTTTTGGAGCCACCACAAACTGCACTTATGCTTACTTGATGGACTTCATTCTGTATAAGGCAGACTGGTATAAATAGACAGACATCTATCTGCATGTCGCCACTAATAATTTATATTAGATGACACAACAGGGTGTAAAAGTGTCATATCTTAGCCTATACAAAATCAAGTGGGGTGTAAGAAGGACAAATAAATGAGATATTCAGATAGTGTGTACATTTAAATAGCACTGACCCTACCAGACTGTCAATATTTTCTTGCTTTATATATATATATATATATATATATATATATATATATATATATATATATATATATAACTTTTTTTATTTTGTACTTATCTATTTTTTTCTTTTCTTTTTTTTTTTTTTGCATAAACGTCAGGTTGGTGGTGCAGTGAGAGAGGTTACTGGTTACACTGCCACATACCGTCACACCATTTCAGTGGAAGAAGGCGGAAATGAAGGCGACTGTTTAAATATGAGGATCGGACACCACCATGCTATCGAAGGATTTCCCAACTGCGTCGTCGCAGACGCCGTCATCAACTTCTTCATGGCTCGAACGGACAAAGTTCGGCAGGTTGGCTTCGACCCGCGCCTGTCAAGAACAGGCCATCTAGGTCAGAGGCCATTAAATACGTTAAACCTCTGAGAATAAAGCTTTAAATGCACGCATGACTTATTTTTGCCTTTTATTTCTGCAGAGTTTTTTGTAGATGCTCTGGGCACCATGCACATCGGCTCCTGTAGTGACGTCATCGTTAGCCACGCGTCAAAGATCAAGTTGCCATGGACTAAAACCGAAACACAGAAGGCCTACGAGCAGTTTCGATACTCTTCTGGAAGTACGGGTGTTAGCAGAAATGAGATCTTTTACTTTAAGAACAGATTCAAGTGCATGACCAGTCAATAAAAAATGCACTTCCAGTGGTCTCATGAAAACAAATAGGCGTTGCTCTTGGCTAATAGATGTTTTGTTTTTTGTTTGTTGCTCACAACTGTTTTTTTTTTTCTTTTTTTTTAACCACCTGTTGTGATGTTAACAATCCAAACGATTCTTGTTCTTTGAAGCACTACTCATTTTTTGCAATTTGTTTACTGTTTACTTGTTTTCTTTTGAATTTGTAAGGGAGAATTTTGATGCTAATTGCTCTTAGTGAGTAATTGTATTTTTGTGTGTGAATGGACTATTATAAGTTGTCGTGATGTATTGATCTTCTAGAGGAGGGAATATATTTAATTTGCACACAAAAAAAAGAAAAAAAATGCTAACCTTGTTGTCTTTATGCTAACGCAAGTTACAGATTCCGTTATCGTGTCTAGAGGTTGCAACAATAATGAACAGTTCTTAGTAGTTTTTAGTCTACTATCTCATTTAATTGATTACAGCGCTCATTTTATGTCACAGGAAACCAAAGGTCACTCCACGCGTAAGTCAGAAGTCAGATAACACTCTGTTATCATGCTCTTTAAATGTCTCACAATCTCCAAATGGGTAGAGATTCCAGAAAATGTCACAAAGTCCACATTGGACTCTTATTCCCACTTCACTGAGTTATTTGTTTTCTTGCATCATATAAAAATGTCAGATTTCCAAATGTTTTTATTGTGCTAGATCAGTGATTTCCCAACCCTGGTCTTCAAGGGACACCGCCTTACATGTCTCCCTGCTTCAACCACACACGATTAACAGGCTTTTGTTGAACTGAATAAGGGAAACATCTAAAAAAAATATAAGGCGGTGTGCCGCGAGGACACCGCCCTATATCAGATTTCCAAATGAAAACATTTGGAAGCAAAAAAAAAAAAGAATTTCAATGTTTCACCACCAGAGGGAAACAAAAGATCAGGTAAAAATGACCTTGCAGTATATTTGGGCAAATTATTTGTAGGTAGTTGGTTATCGGATGGAGGAACATTTAATAAATATGAACACGTGTCTATTACTATACACTTTGTGGTTAAAAAAAAAACATTGGCTGCAATTCTAATATCTTAATTTCTCCCGTCATATGCGGGCATTTGGTAATTTTAAGTATGATGTTGTTGCCTGTGAGAGTTTATTTAAATGACAACTCAAGTCTTCATTGTTTAAGACTTTGATTTGTTGAGGATTTTGCAGGGTTATTTTTTTAAAATTCCTTTCCATGTGTGTTCACGTTAGTTGGTCTTTATGTAGAATCTGGCTTACTAAACATTTGGCCAGATACTCGTGCATCATGTCCTAATTGAAGTGGACTACTTCCTGCCAATTAGTGAAATACTCCTTGAGCTTTAAAGGGAAAACCCCAGCGGGTACAGTGTCGGGAGGATTACTTAAAATATGCCAAAAAAAGAGAAAGAAATAATATGATCAACTTAGTTATCAAACACACCGCAAGGACATAATTATTTATTTGCTTTATTTTTACCGTGGTTTTGAACTCAAATCTGGATGTAGATTTTATCAGGCCAAGGTACCAGGTTTAAGCGGGGTTGTGAAAGTATCGTGTATTGGCCAGCAGAGGGCAGCAACGTGGCAAGAAAGAGGCAGTTTTCATCACGGAAGGTTTTGAAATAAATCTACCAACTTTTAAGAAAATAATAGTTGGAAGGAAATATGATTCTTGTGAATCTTTGTACACTGTATCTTTAATCGCACTGAACCAACTCTGTGGATGTGATTACTCTGTTTTTGTCTTTGTCAGATGGTAAACAACTCTCCTGTCATTGTTCCACATTTAAATCAGGGTTTTTTTCTTCATTTTTCAAATCTGAGGCATATTTTTATCATTATTATTATCTAAGTGCGTACAAAGACACCTCCTCTTCTCTCTTCAAAATTTGACAAGGTTGGCATGCTTCACATTCCACACCACCCTCCATTTCAATCCCCTGGGGGAAAAAAGTTTCGTACCTAAAATATAGGAAAAAATCCACCTTTTATCATGTATTGACTGTAATTCCTGTGTGAAGATAAAAAGAACAATCACTGGGGCTACTTGATGGTTATTCAAAGATCATATATGAAATGTGTTGTGTATTTGTATTGAACTCTCCCTTTTTTTGCAATTCCCTGGATGAAAAAGGGGGGTAAAAAAAAAGACATTTTTTTCTGCAATTCTGTGTGTGACTGTCAGCTTCTCACATAGAGACAATGAATTTTTTGCCCATTTTTCTGTCCAAAATAGATTCTGAAGTAAATTTAAGTCCAGACTTGGACTAGCCCTTTCTACGTGAATATGTTTTATTCTCAGACCATTTAATTCTGTCGATGTTCGGGGTTATTGTCCTGTTAAAAAGGGTAAGCTCTATTTAGAAGCATCTCTCACAGGCTTTTCTTCAGAATTGTCCTGCATTTGAGTCCATCCATCTGCCCACCGTTTCTGTCCAGGTCCTCTGTCCCTGCTGAAGCGTGCCCACGGCATGATGTTGCCACCACCGTGGGTCACCACGGGGGGTGCCAGCATTAATTGAACTCTACATAATTTAATGTCATCAAAGCTACTGGAATCAATCAACATTTTTTTAGAGCACTTTACACTTTACTCTGAGTAACCAAAGAGATGCATAATTTAAAACATGATCAATAAAAAACACCTGTAATAAAACAGACAGATAAAAAAAGAAAAGATCAACTTAAAAAAGAGACAGAAAACAGACAACTGCTGAACTGGAATTAAAAGCCAAGTTAATGAGATGGGTTGTTAAAACGGCCTTAAAATCGTTCAAAGTATTAGCCATCATTCAAATGAGAAGGAGATTGTTCCAGAATCTGAGAGGATGCTTGTGTAAAAACTCTTGACATAAATGATGTGTGCTACACTGCTTAAACATTTAAAAACCAAAATAAAAATCAATCCCAAAACATATTCATGCATCCAGTGCAATATGGAGGTACCGTAATGTCCTCGCGTTGTTACCTATAAGCAGACGGGCAGCAGCGTCTTGGACCAGCTGCAGACGATTAACAAACATAGAACAAATTCTTCAGTGCGCTTGGTATTTTATTACATACAGGTAGCTAACATTACAAACACATATAAATATTACAATGCCGAAATACAGAATACATATGACTGTAAAAATGAAATATTACAGAAGAGAAAGTCCAGAAGAGTTATACAGTGTTGAGGAACTGCATTTCCTTGAGTTAAATCCAGCTAGGATGGATTTAAGTGTGTCAGCAGGGAGTGTGATATCTGAAAAAGGTCGGCTAATGCTGAAATGTAACCATTAAAAATACTAAGTGCTGCTACAACAGGCCACTGTGTCTTTGAATTACTCCCCTACTGCAAAGTCCGATCCAGCTGTTCTTGTGCTCCAGCCGATGTCTCAGGCCACAGAAACTGGCCTCTCGGTTCAAACCCAAACTGTTGTGGTGTTCTCTGGAGGTTTTTCCTATGGCAGAGGACAACATTGTCATTCAAATGTGAAAATGATTTATTCTCTGCTTATACTGAAAGCGATTACGATTCGTACCCTCTGTTGCTGGATGTACATTACGGCATCGTGAACGGTGACAAAAATATGCTGAGGATTCATGTGACTCATCAGGCCGCTTGATGTCAAGATCTTTAAGACACTCTCTAAAGGGAGCAAGATAAATCCACACACACACACACTTAACACATTTAACCCTACCTACACTGTAACATAACAGGAAAAAAAAATGTATGAGAGAAATATCTGACATTAAAAACGTTTACCGTTGCAATTTGCCAAATAGACGTGAACTCCGACTTTCTGGCACTCGGTGCACATCTGCAGGAAGAAAATCACATGACGTGACCAGATCACGAGGGGGAGCCATGTCCTTTTGTTGAAGGCTGACCTGTGTGAAGAGCCTCGCTCCAGCAACATCAACAAATATGACTCTGCTGCAGTCAATTAGCACGGCCTGGACCTCTTTCTCTGGCGTTTCTGCAGGGTGAAAACACGCAGTTTCATAACGTCTGCTGTGAGAGAACATCCAAACTGAGTGATTTCACAAAGCAGCTACGAACCTGATTCAAAGAACTCATTTACCGAAGAGAACGACGTGTTTGCTATGCCTCTGTCCTAAACAACAGCATAGGGAGAAAACACGAAGACGGCTGGGTTAAGTTACATTTTATAGTTTATAAATATGTCGCATTTGTCCCAACAAATGGTTATTGATGACTCATACCACAGTGCTGACAGAGGCCTCTCTCTCTCGTTTCTCCAAAGCTTTCCTGGCCTTTTCCCGACTGCGGATCTCTTCGGGCGTCAGACCCAACACCCTGCTCATTTTCTCCCTGAAGAAGCTGCGATTGCCGTAGTAGATGGGCCCGTTGTATGTCAAGATTTTCACCCCGGGCACTTCATAGCACTGGATAGGAAAAAAAAACCCCAAAAAACAACAATGTCTCATCTTTATTGTTTCGATAAAATCCTGTCCAATCGTCTCTCACATTAAGGGTCATGGTGCTGGAATTTATTTCCTCTAATGGACTTTTTTTTTCAGACACGTTCACCTTAACTTTTAGTGCGGTGTCTATTTGCAACAAGTGAAAGAATTACAAGCTCTACTCACCTTGCTGTGGTTCTCCAGAGGTCTGTATATTTCTGTGTTGCTCGCCCGCCCAAGAACTGAGCAATCAGCCCTGTTGAAGCATTGATCATCTGTTCACTTATGTGTCAAGTTTATGTAATCACACTCGTACGACTTTTTCAGTTTGTCACAGCTTTAAAGGGACTTCTTATGGTTGTGCTGTGGATTTTTGAATCTGCTTCAGTGATAGCCTTCGCCTGTGATCAATCGCCTTCTTTTTCCAGTTTAGGTGGACGGCCATGTTTTACCTCTTTTTTGTACAGACGTTCAAAGCTTGGCATATTGCTTTATAACCTAGCCCTGCACACAAGTGGACTCTATTTACTGGGAGATTTCTGGGGGCAGCTGCTTGAACTGGACTTTATTTGGGAGATTCATAATAAAGGTGCTCAATAGAAATGCATTTCATGTTATTCCAGATAGTAATTTGTGAAAAAAAAAATGGTCATGCATAACTTTAGCAACATGGAAAATCTCAACAAAACATGTTGGAGGTTTCAGTTCTAGCTTTGCAGAAACAAGCACTGAGCCTCAGTTCCTGGACTTGACAATGATTGCACCTTTGTGTTCGATAGATGACGGTCATCATGGAGAAAACCACGCCGATGGCCAGGCCAAGGTCCACGTTCAGTACCACCACAGACAGCCAGGTTACGACCCAAACCATCTAACGACAGAGACAACATCACCACGAAGCAAATCAAATTGAACAGGTCAATCTAAGTAAATAAAACTTGATTAATTAAAAACAAAACATAATTATTGAACACATATTCTGTGGAGGAACTTGATTCAAAAAATCTGGAGACGTTGCAGTTAAAGATGCGCCCACTAGTTCGCCAGCAGCCAAACAAGCTACAGTATTAAACCGTCTGTTTTCTTTCTCCTTTTTCTTCTGAACAAAAATATCTATTAAGCAGGTTTAAAAAGTCTAGCTTGCTGATCCTCCAAAGCTCGGGTAAGTCTCGGAACTGCAAGAACATTTGCCTCAGGCTGGTAACGTTGATGCATGCCAGCACAGCCTGCGGGGAGAGACAAAAGGGAAGGTAAGTGGAGATATCCTACTTCCTTTCTCTTCATGTACAGAGACAGTCACGAGAGCACACCTTAGGCAGGAAGTAGAACAGGGGTCCGATCAGCAGCAGGACGATCAATACAACCAGACTGGTGAAAAGGCCAGAGAGCTGCAAGGACACACACATATAAATGTGTGTTAAGAAACGTAAAGATTTAATTGGCTTTAAATGATTAAAATGATTGTATGTGCTCTGGATTCTTGGATCTTGATTGTCTAACCAAGTGAAAAATGTTTTTTCATCTCAGATGACGACTTTGGACAAGTGAGAAACAACCCAGTCTTTTTTTTTTCCTTTGTCCAGGTGAGACTCTTCTGA